ACCCCTGCTGGATCCGCCTACGGTATTTTGAAAAGTAAACTTGATAGCACAGGGGACAAGGAAAAAATGACTCTCAATATCAGAAAAATTTAAAACAATAACCTTGCTGGCAACTTGCCCAACTCATTCTGCTCTTTCAGATATCTGACATAATGAGGTGTTGCTTCTCGAGGGAGTGAGAGCGCTCGTTCGGGAGACACCGAATAAGTCCGACTGCGAAACGAATCACGTCGAGTGATATCAGTGATGCAGGTGCCGTTGCGATTTCCATCTGATAACCTAAATCATATTTAAATTAGCATCTCGTTCTGTGTAAGGTAAACTATAAAAATATGTAGAACTTCAGCCTGCTACTTACTGCCAAAATATTAAAAAAATGCAAGGCTTTGATGTGCCAAGGATGAAGTCACTCTTCGCTGGCAACCTTTACTTAATAGTAAGCTATATCCGACAGAAAATAAACGAACTGTTGATTAACGAAGTTGCGATAAAATAAGAAGAGGACACTAAATGGAAGAATGCAAATCTAGATCGACAGGCCTAGAAAACCAACGCCCGGCATGTGAGAGCACATCAGTAATATCAATGAAATAAGTTTCGTAATTTTGATATTTTGATAATAAAATTAGCTACGGCAATTAGATTAAGTCCTACAATACTATCTCCTTTTTGTAGGCCTTTTTTTTGTCGGTTTTTATTACTTTGAATCAGCTGCTGCTTCATCATTGCGTTTCTTCTCACCACTGACACATTTAGAAACTTCTTTATTCATTAAAGAAATTTCTTCATTCACTTGAACTTTTCCCGTTGCAGTGCCGGCTTCTATGTGATCTTTTTAACAACGACCATCGAATAATGCGATTTCGATAATTACCAGAAATACTAAAATCGCTTTTGGGATACCAAGTTATTGATGCTCCTGGAGTGCTCTCACTTGCCAGTTGCAATTGTTCTCCCAAGCCTTTCGATTTTAAGCTGCACATTTACTGCCCTCTCAATTTATGTACACCAACTCTTTAGAAGTCATTCACTTTTTCCGCCAATAAACAAATACTGATATTTCTTTTCTTCGAAAAGCAATCAAAGGCATCAGAGAAAAGTAAATTTTTCGAACAAAGCTATAAATGCTGCAAAAAACGCTCACCTAAGATTGCTGGATTCTGAGAGCAAACGTAACTGATCGGCATGTAAAGCCGAATCACTGCAGTGTGTTGGGAGAAATACTGAGGAGGCGTAATGGCTGCAACAGCAATACGGGTCACTTTCGAAGACTGGAAAGCCATGTTCTCGTTGATACAGCACTTCAAGAAGCGAAAGTGGCTCCGGCGACACACTTCGTGACGAACCATGCCGATCACCACCAAAAACAAATCGTTTTATTTCATATAGAAATCGGAGGAGAAAAACGAAA